CTGCAAAGACTCAACGTCAGCCAAGGCGAGTGAGAAAAGGAAGGGTGCGCCGCTCTACATTGTGTACAATTGCGCGTGTGAGTTCTGCATTGGCAATACCACAACTATATCAACAACACGCTCGGTGAGGTGAGCATCTACAACATATCATCGATACCAAACCCTCACGCATTAAAAGCTAAACCCTAAACCCTAAACTAAACCCGACGCCCAAAAAAGCGTTTATGTTTCCAGGGTCCCTCGCAAGGCTTTGGATTGTTGCTGCCGTTCTTCTCCGTTAGCTGCCATCCTCGAGCTCCCTAAAAGGGTTTAGGGTTTAGGGTTTAGGGTTCAGGGTTCAGGGTTCAGGGCTTATTTTGGGGGTTCAGGGTTTAGGGTTTAGGGTTTAGGGCTTATTTTTGGGGTTCAGGGTTTGGGGTTTAGGGTTCAGGGTTCAGGGTTTAGGGTTTAGGGTTTAGGGCTTATTTTTGGGGTTCAGGGTTCAGGGTTCAGGGTTTAGGGTTCAGGGTTCAGGGTTTAGGATTTAGTGTTTAGGGCGTTTTTTTGGGGTTCAGGGTTCAGGGTTAGGTTTAGGGTTTAGGGTTTAGGGCTTCAGGTTTAGGGTTTAGGGTTTAAGGTTTAGGGTTTAGGGTTCAGGGCTTAAGGTTTAGGGTTCAGGGTTTAAACCCGAAGCCCTAAACCCAAAACCCCGACGCCGAGCCCTAAGCCCTCAGCCCTAGTAGTTTCGGGATGCGGGTGACATCGCCCAGGTTGTGCCCAACATCGTGACGCTGGCCTGCAAGGGCTTAGCAGCTATGTTACACTATATCATGTTTTGTGTTATATCCTACTATGTAGCATGACCATAGATGAGATTCGATTAAGATATATATATATATGGTGTTCTATGATGTTTGTTATGTGAAATTTGGTTTAATTATACCATGCTGCATTAGAATTATATGCATTAGATTAATTATATGGTATTATATGATAGTATCAGCCCCCCAGCCCTCGAAGGAGGCGGGTTGAGGAGTTAGGGGTTCGGATCAGGGTTCAAAAAGATATCCCATGGGTTTTAGGAAGTAAGGTTGTGTGAAAATAGGATTTCGGAATGGAGGCTGAGGCTTAAAGTTTGGCTAAGAGGATTTACGCTGCACAACTTCAAACCCCCGAAGACCGTAGCCATGCTGAGACAGCATTAGGGTTTAGGGTTTAGGGTTTTGGGCTTTAGTGTTTAGGGTTTAGGGTCCCAAAAGACCGCAAGCCACACGAGCCAGCTCAAGCGGCAAAGATCCAAGCTTCGATTCTCTTGAATTGGTGAGATTTTGTAGACCAGGAGGTGTCCACTGGTATTCATACTGAGACCAATACTTATGTTCATGCCAATAAGAAGCATACTGATGCTAATCACGGCAACAATTACGATAGTAGTAGTAGTAGTAGTAGTAGTAGTAGTAGTAGTTGTAGTAGTAGTAGTAGTAGTAGTAGTAGTTGTAGTAGGAGTAGGAGCAGGAGTAGGAGTAGGAGTAAGAGCAGTAGTAGTAGTACTACTGATAATAAGACGAATAACAACAACTATCTTAACAAGAATTTTCGTACTAATACTAATAATATGACTCGTGTGCAGAATATTAGTGTTGATACACATATCCAAAACAACAATAAACAAAAGCATAGTAGCAATAGAAGCAAGGATATTCAGAACAGTTGTATGCAAGTTATAGCACAATGAACCCGAGAACTCATGTCCCTACATAGTGGGGTTCTGGTACATTCGAGAACTTTCTGGGGTTGGAGCGTTTTTGGGGCTGGGCTCAGGGTTTAGGGTATGGGGTTGTTGGGCTTTTGGCACTTTACGGTTTGCGGTATTATGGGGTTAAATCGTAGAGATGTTTGCGGGTCTAAGGCTGAGCCGTCTGGGGCTTAAGTTCGCTGTGCTGCGTCTGCTCTTGAAGAAACACCTCATATAAGAACCCCCCTGAAGGCGCTCAACCCTAAACTCTAAACGAAGCCTAAACCCTAAACCCTAAACCCTAAACCCTAAACCCTAAACCCTAAACACTAAACCGAAGCCGTTGAGGTGTCACAATGCAGCTCTGAGCGCCTGCCAGCGCAGCCGGAACTGGACCTTAAAGTCTTCTCGGCTTCGGGTATCCGCCGCCCAAACCCGAAGTCCTAAATCCCAAACCCTAAGCCCCAAACCCTAAACCCTAAAACCTAGAGCCCTAAGCCCTTGCTGTAAGCCCTGAATGGTACATGAACCCTACAGCTGCACAGCTGCACATATACCTGAAGACTGCGCATGAACCCTACTGTAAAGCCTAAAGCTATGCATAGCCAGCCCTGCTTTTTTCTATTTTCTTGAAGTTTAGGGTTTAAGGTTCTCTTCTATTTTCTTGAAGTTTGGGACCCAAAAAAGCCTTCACCTCAAAGTCCCGAAGTCATGGACAAGCCTTTGCACCTATTCTTATTCATTCAGACTGAGAAACCCTAAACCCTAAAACCTGTATTATATGCTTCTGATTTTGGGCTTATGAGGCTTCAGGAGAAAGTCTAAACCCTAAGCCTCAATCGGTTACCGAAGGTCGGGGAACATAGAGCTTGACCCCGTAGAGCTTGGGGCCTAGGCTTTCGGGCTTTAGGGGTTGAGAGGTTTAGGGTTCAGGGGTTTAGAGGTTTAGGAGTTTAGGGGTCTAAACCCTAAACCCTAAACCCTAAACCCTAAACCCTAAACCCTAAACCCTAAAGGAGTTTAGGGGTTTAGGGGGCTAGGGGTTTAGGGTGTAGTCTAGTGTGTATCAGGACGATTCAAGGCTGAGGACTTCGGGTCATTGCTGATTTGTTGTATTAGGGTTTAGGGTTTAGGGTTTAGGGTTTAGGGTTTAGGGTTTAGGGTTTAGAGACTCCAAAACCCCTTAATTAGGGAATATACCTTAAAATTAGGGTTTAATTAGGGTTTAGGTTTAGGGTTTAAGGTTTAGGGTTTAGGGTTTAGGGAATATACTTTAAATTATAATAGGATCCCTAATATGATTTAAGGTATATTCCTTAATTAACGGGTTTTGGAGTCTCTGGGCTTGTCAATGTAGGGTTTGGTGTGTTCAGACTCGTTGAGCATCAAAGGGGGCTTAGTTTTGCTGGAGGGTGTAGGTTACAAGGTTTGTCTGGTGCCGGGAAAGGACGGTGGCCTTAGCCCTCTACGGCAGCCTGCGCAGCGCGCGCTTGAGCCCTACGGTGCGGGCCCACCAGGATTTACGATGCGCTGCTTCGCTTTTCGTGGTCATTGCAGGTTCCTAAACCCTAAACCCTAAACCCTAAACCCTAAACTCTAAACCCTAAACCCTAAACCCAAACTCCTAAACCGATGGGTTCGAGGTTTAGGATCCAGGGTTCAAGGTTTAGGACCACGGGGTTTATACGGTTTCGGATACAGGGTTCAATGTTGAGGAGATGTTAGGTTCAGGATTTAGGGATCAGACGTAAATCCTGAACTCTAAACCCTGAACCCAGGGTTCGGGTGCAGGGTTTCGGGGTACGTTTAGCGGGCTCCTTGCGGGCTTCATTCTTGGGGTTTACGGCTTAGGATCCTAAACCCCAAACCCTAAACNNCCCTAAACCCTAAACCCTTGTTGGGGTTGAGGGCCTTGATCATTATTTGCCCGAAGCCCCCAGCCCACGGAGGTTGAGAATTCTCTGCAACGTTTTCAGCCTATGACGCCCAAAAGGAAATCACGACAGGAGTGAACTACTACCAC